ATGGTTTTATAAACATTTTAGTTGGTTAATATTATTTGATATACTAAAATTGAAATTAAAACATTACAACAATTCTATCAATCAAATCTGCAGTTTTAAAGAACCGCAGTTTTTAACATTGAAAATCTATCTTTAGTGCTGTAAGCTGGCACTATTCTCGTTAAACATTTTTCTTAATATTTTAAATTTTTTTATTTTTTGCATCTCCGATTATATTTCCTTTTTTAAGTATTATAAATGATTTTTTACTATATTTATATATATTTATAGAATATTATCCATTAATGTATAGCATTATGTATATTATACAAAATTTTAATTTTTTAAAAAGTAATTCATTAAGTAAAAAAAAATATATTCACTTAGGATCAGTTTTTAATATTTGAATTATTTAGTTTAGTGAATTAGGATGAGATGTTTTTGAACCCTATGCTCCATTGGGAGATGAGGATGACAGAAGAAGAAGAAGTTTTGTATCTTACTCTTTTTACAACTAAACAGCGTCTTTATGTTATAAAAAAAAAATAATATTAAAAAAAATATAGTTATTTGCATATATTTATAGTTACCAATTTTACTTCTATTCTTCTTCAACAACTTCGATATCCTTCTCTTGTTCTTTCTCATACAGCAATAATTAATTTTTATCACAACTATGAGTTTCTATTAATTTAATTTTAATAAAAAGCTTAACCTATTTTACATTATTTTAATTTTTGTTATTTTGATTTGAATTAGTATAAACAAGGTTAAGACGATTACAATTAATAGGTCATTAATAAATTTCTGAACACAATATAAATTACAAATTAGTCACACCCCACGCTTGAATTTAGTTTTCTCCAAATCCAGAACAAGCATAATATTCAATATCTTTCATTATTTAAGCACTGCAGTTATTATGATTAAATTTACTAATTTCTCTCATTTTATTACAGATAATAAACAAAGAAGATACACGTCGTCCACAAAGAAAGCCTTCAGAAGGTCAGGCTCGTGCCAAATTTAATTTCCAAGCCCAATCAAGCTTGGAATTATCATTAAATAAGGGTGAACTGGTAACATTGACACGTCGGGTGGATGATAACTGGTTTGAGGGAAAAATAGCTAACAGAAAAGGCATCTTTCCAGTATCATATGTAGAGGTTAGTAAAAAATATTATATGTATATAACATATAACAATAAAATTTCATTTTAGGTATTAACTGACATTGGTGCTGAAGATATTGCTGCAAAAACCGTTATCACAGAACAAAGCGTTACGAATCTACGCCCTTCATTGGACACATTACGCACAAATATCAACCATGAGTTCAATGTTTTAACACAGAATGGCAACCAACCACCGAACGGCATATTGAAGGAAACCAAGAATCTACATAAAACAGATTTGCTACATGTGGACACAGTTACCGAACAATTAAAGTAAGTAATCACAATTCAAGACAATATATTATATTATATTATCACTGGATATTAAATTCTATTATTCGAAACTTAGATACCGTGCTCTCTACAAATACCGACCACAAAATTCCGATGAACTTGAGCTGTTAGAAGGCGATATCGTGCATGTGCTGGAGAAATGCGATGATGGTTGGTTCGTTGGTACCTCACAGCGAACGGGTTGCTTCGGCACATTCCCCGGCAATTATGTTGAACGCCTCTAACCACAAATAAGAAATTTGTTGAAGGTTTTGTTGTTGCGTGAAGGATCTTATCTTCCACATATATAATGTTTATATTTAATGAGAGAAAACAAAATTAGTTTAAACACGAAATAATATTATTAATGCTTATATTTTTGTTGTTGTTAAAACTTTAATTAAATTTGTATATTATTTTTAAAAATTATTTATTTAAACACGTTAATGCTGATATAATGATATTTTAACCCAGATAAATACTGAGAACTGCTACCGAAGTAGAAACACGTACAAAGTAAATATTTATGGCTAAAAATCTCCAAGCGAATGTTAATACATAACTAGTCAAAGCTATTCCCAAATATAACGTACCATACGTGAATGCAAAAAAATAAATTATTATTTAAATATTTTGAATCAAATTTTGAAAGAGAGATTCACTAAATAAAAAGCATGAAAACATATTGAAAAACAAAAATCAAGAAATTGTTTACATACAACTGAACTTGTGAAAAATGATTGCCAATGCAGCTTATGCCTAAAAATGATGCCAATTATATAATCTTGATTATATAAATATATATATATTTAATTCATAATATATATAATAAATGTGTATGTTTGTGCGAAATACTTGATATTATTTTAAAATGCCTTTAACAGCAAACGAATATCTATTACAGTGCCTTTCAAACTTTACTTAAAATTGTTATTTTTCACTCAAATTACAAAATTTTATTGGCATTACTAACATTTCATGGAATAACATTAAAACTGTTTAAAAAATATATAAAATAAAAATTATTTATAAAAATTGTATGAAAAATAAAAAAATAATTGTAAAACTCACAGTTGTTGCAAATAAAATTTAGAAAATAAAAACAACAAAACACAAAGTATGATTTTTTATTAAAATTATTTAATTTGCTTCAAAATTATTTATCACTTTTGCTTCAATATTTTTTCAAATTAAAATTAATTTTGACTAGAATAATTATTAATTTTTAAAAAAAAAATTATATTTATCCAATAATAAAAGATTGCTATCGCAATCTTATAACATATACCAGATATGTTAAATTAGAGTATTTATTCATATCCAAGCAATGATTTTTTAAAAATTTAATTTCAATTTTAAAAATTTTTTTGTTTTAAAATAATAGGAAATTTATTATTAATAGAAAGTAACACATAGATAAAAAATTTAACACTTACACTTGAAGACAACTATTGCTCTCAAAGTTGCCAGGAGGAGACTAACTAACCATTGTTTCCAATATGTCTCCACGTTATATTCTTATTGAATTATTTGGTCTTTTAGATGAAGCTAAGGAGTTTCGATAGATACACTTTTGTGATCTGAGATCTTTTAGATATCCGCTTTGTCTGTAGTTTCGAGTCGATTACTCCTTTCTGTTTTTGTTCAGTCATTTTCCATTCTGGAAATATTTGGAGATATATATTTTACTTAAATTAAGTTACTATTTTTTTTGTTAATATGTTTTACTCTAATTGCTTTTAAAAAAATATTTATTTATATATAAGCTATTATTACGAACAAAAAAAAATTCTTCTAAAACCTTTCTAATTATTTATTAATAGGAGAGTTTATTTTAGAAAATTTTTTAGCTATACAAGCTTGCGAATAGAAAATTAGTTTAAATTTTAAGTTAAATTGAAACATTCTCTAAAACTATAATCACTGCTAGACTCAAAATTTTTTACTAAATTATAACAAAGCAAGCAAAAACAAAATGAAGTTTATATATATATATATATATATTGTCTTTGATTCCTTCTTCCTATTTATAAACACATTTTTAAAGTTATGAAGAACTATGAACCACATGAGAACCAGCATTATCATTAGTTTCGAAATCTAATAAAACATCACATTTTCCAATAGTTTCTACTCTAGACTCAGTAGACAACTAAGAAGTCGACCCATTTATTGACGAACAAAAGAAACTACGCATAAGTTGTTCATTTCATTTGTTCTATTGTATAGCGGAGAAATATGAACGATAAAGGTCCATGATAAACGATACAAGATTTTTACCTTGTATGCATAGCTCACATTGATTATGACCTACTCTTCTTTCCTAAGAGAAAATTTAACCGTTGTTATGACTTTACACTACTCCCCGAAGCAGTGACGTCACTAGGCGTCAGCGATGTCGGCGACCGCCGACGGCCTCGCGCCCCCAGGGGCCTCTAAAAAGTTACCAAGTGTGGATTCTAAGCACTTAATAAATATTTTGAACAATTTGATTTGATAATGGCATTAACCATATTCGAACTATTTCCGAATGTTTATATAGTAACCAGATTCATGTTCACAGTTCTAGTCAGTATAGCTCCGACGAAAAGAAGTCTTCAAATTTAAAATTGATTAAGACATACTAGAAAAGTATGATGATCCAAGAGAGACTATCTCCATTCGAAATTCTATAAACTGAAGCGAAAATAGCAGCTGACGCAAATTATGTTATAATTTTAAAAAAAATTGAGTGAAGCTAAAAGTAAGAAAATTCATTTATTTTAATTTGTGTTTATTTTAAATTGATTATTTATTTTTACAACTGGGTTATAAAGGGGGCCTCGCAATTCTAATGTCGCCGACGTCCAGAGTTAGTCTAGCTCAGCCACTGCCCCGAAGTGTTGGAAATCAACACACTATCCTCTAAATAATTTTTATTCAAAGCCCAGGCACCATATTCACTTAGATCTCTTAGGTCACTTAGGTGGCATATAACATGTGGTCATTAAAATTTTATTCTTCTTCACTGTCTTAAAGAATCCTGATCAATCTTCTCATGTTTCACGCTTTTTGTTGTTTTTAATCTACAACTCTTCTATACTAATTCATAATTAAATACTCTCTCTTACTAGGAAAAAATTCGACCGATGTCATGAATTGTCATCAAAACCTTAATATTCTTCGAATGAACATTCCACCCTCTCACATATTTGAAAACATGAGGCATTAATAATACCTAGCTTTATATCGTAATGAGACTGGCTTGCATTAGTTTCGAAATCATACTCTTTTAGATTGCACTATAGAATCGATAGTTTTACGACCCAGTTCACTTTTTATACCTAATATATTGTACTACAATTTACGCCTAACCAATCCTTATCACCAACCATAACCTACCTCTTGGTTTACTTGTTGTCCATGCTCCTATTTAATGTATTATTATTAAAAATCTGCCATTAATTACTGGAATTTGGATTTCAACTATTTTAGCATTCCTTGCTTTTTGTGGTCACTTCTTACACAAATTAAAGAGAAACCAATATGATACTGTAAGGGCTGACTTAGTTTTAAGAAATTAGCTATCCTATCCTACTTTATAGAAAACAATCCATTCGAATATTCTTGCTGGGGTAAAAATTGGGGAAAATTCGTCATTATTTAAAAAAAAAATATTTATATTTTAAATATATGGTATATAATATATTATTAGGTTAAATAATTAATATTTTCCTTTATATATAACTATATATTGAATTATATATTTATATAAATAGACAAATCCGACGAGCTGAATTTTGGTTTTCGACGTAAGAGTAGATGAAATTTGGTTTCAATATTACAATATGATTATTAAAGAAGAAATTACAAAATATATGGAACTCAAACAAATATATTACATTCTACTGTATATAAAATAATAATATATTGGATTAAACTAATTTCTTTTCAATTTTCTATGCTTAACGATTTCTTTATGATTTGCCGAATTCGTATTGCACGAAATGAAGAGTTTCATTACCAACGATCATACACCGATTTTCGTCACAGCGATTTCAGTGATTCGTGCGACAAGATTTATATAATCCAAGATACTTAATTTTGGTTGTTTAGTTGGTTGATTGAAGGATCATAAGTAAAAGGAACTAATTATAATATTATCCATTTTCAAGATATCTTTATATAGTTTATTAGTTGCATTGCTTGTGAATTTCATAGAATATCGCAAAGTAAAAATTTATTATGTAGTATTACTGTATTCCTGTGTTGATTTCAATTCCACTTCGTTTCTTCGGCGTCGCACTTGAACAAATTGTCATTTGCGTTTCGTCGGCGGCGTGAAGTGCATTTGTTAGGAAAAATGCAAAGTTTTGTGCGTACAAGTGCTTTTTATAAATAAAAAATAAAATAAATAAAGTGCATTTAGCATTTCTAATGCATTAAGAAATATATTTGTGAAAAATGTTTGGAAAATAGTGTTGTTTTAATAACATCCGGTCTCCGTATGAAAAAATCCAACGCAAATATTTTACACAAAAAGAGAAAAGCAAAATAGTGGAAAAAAAAAATTAAAACCCAAATTAAATGATTGTCGTGAATTAAGTAGTATATCCCGGTAGTTTTGGGACAAAAAAATGGGTAAGTCGAGATTAATAAGAATCCAAAATCTTTATTTGTTTTGTTTGCAATAAAATTGTTATTCAAATATTTTCATTGTTGCGTTTTGTATATTTTGGTTTGTATGTATGCTTGTGTGCTGGCTCAATCGATACTTGCTTCTTCAAGGACAACCCTCGTCCAAGGAATTTTACATATTGTTAATGCAATTTTGCCAATTTTGCTAACCAATATTGATTCATCAAAAAATTTTCTAAGAATTCCAAAAATTTACACTCGAATTAAAATTGTTTTGTTCAGCATGGTTTTTTTTTGTTATCTTTTGTTTTTTATTTAACTGGAAACTGGAACACATATGCATATGAACACATATACACACATGTTTAAATAATTATTAACTTCCTGTCATTCAAAAAATAAAAATATAAACAAAAACAATTCTGCTTGATAGCATTTTTGCTTGCTGCTGCTACTGCTGCCTTCTTTGTTGTTGCTGTGCTGTTGATTTTTGCTGACCACCCAAAATCTTTGCAGTCAGAAATGAAATGAAATGCACAAAACAACACTCGAAAACAGAGCAAAACAAAGACAAAGAATCGAACGCAAATGTGTTTATTTTTATATTTAAGCTTATCTCCGCTGCGTCTGTGCGTCTGTGCGTGGGATTTTTCTTATTGGACATAAATTTTTGTTAATGGAGAGCAGAGCTTTGTAGGCAAAAGCAAATAAATTTGTTTTTGTTGTGAAACAAAATATACCGCAAATGCATGCTGTGCCTTTGCCGTCACCGTTGCCGTTGCCCGTGCCGTGTATAAAAATGAATTCCTTCAAAATGTGCATGTGCCGGTCGTTATTATTCATCGCCACTTGAATTTTATTAATAGTTTTTGATGAATTGGAGCGTTTGGAGCGTTCCGTGTAGCTGATATCGTCGTATTATCATTTATTTTTAAATGTTACATGACAGACTACACTCGATTTTAAACAGAACCACTTAAAAAATCAAATTTAATACGAAAATATAATACAAAAATGAAAGCACAAATCAAAACACATAGGGAAGGGAAGGAATGCTTCACTTGGTACATTAAGCAATTTAAGTTGAATTAAGTTAAATGATTTTTATTATAATATAAAATATACATATTAAAATATTATTGTTTAAATAAAATATCCTTGGTATTATATAATTAGGCCGTGTGCGAGTTCGAGTAAATCGAGGTAAAGTAAATTGGGATTTTTTACACTGCACTTACATAAATATTTATTTATTTATTTATTGCACTTATTTATTGTTTTTGGTTAAAAGTTTTCAAATTTATTTATAAAACATCTTATACAATTTTCACAATGGTAACACCTAATTTACCAAATTTTTATCTAATTTACCCTACTCAAAAATCTGGTAAATAATATTTGTTATCATACCGACATA